GAGAACTTACTGTTTTTCAGAGGGGAATTTATGCAGTTTCAAAGTCTCCAGATTTACACACATAACATAACCATAAATGTGAGCAGAGCATTAATTTTGTCCCATTTTCCTTTTTAAAAGTAATTAGACAATAAAAATGCTTCCAAAGTGGGAGAAACTTGGAATATAATGGGATATTATTAAACAAAGCTATTTGTATGCACTCTGGTCTCCCAAATGTCAAGACAGTAACATTTATCTGTGCCATGGAAAATACTCCCTCTGAGACCAGAAAGTGCTTGAATAGAACTGCCACTACTCAGTTTTCAAATCTAGCACATTCCCTAAAGTACTTCACCACCCTCTTCTACCTTTTCATGAGACCTTATGGCAGGAACATTCCATTGCATTCCATCTGCAATCAGCCATAATCCCTGTGAGCAGTCGTCCAGGCCAGCTTGCCAGCATAGCAGTCTTTTAATGCAGCTAACACATGTGGCTACAGAAAATTCATTTCAGTTTTTCCAACAATTCTAGGTTCAAAATTCATGCTCTCTCCCAATCTTAAGCCCAATTTTTTAAAAACAAGCCATTAATACTTTCTAAACATAACAAGTTGGCTCACTTAAAATTGCTCAAAAGTTATTTGGATTACATATTAGTCAAATTACTAAGAAACTGCCATATAAAATTGTAAACAGAAATAGAAAACAGCAGAAAACTGAAAACACCAAAATTCTAGAGGAAAAAGTCTCTGATACAATTAGCTAATTAGCTTTCCAAAAACAAACACCTTTCAAAGAAACCAAAATTACCCCAAACTTTCTGAACCATGACAAAGCATTCAGCTAGAAAACTAACACTACTTTTTCTAAGGCTGATTCATCTAAGGAGGACTTTTGTTTCAGGAGGCTAATATTATTTTAAAAGTCACAGATTTCTCCTGGTGAATGTTTAAGCGAAGAGGCAATGTGTTATAGACAGATGAGGCTAGGAGTACCAATCTAGATATAACACTAATAAGTCCTAATAAGCTACAATTCTGAAACTTTCCCCAAACATACAGGATGTTTAGTTTAATCCTCAAGGTCAAGTTGAAATACCCTCCTATCATCTATGAATTTTACATGTGCCCTTTGCCAAACTCACATCTGCACTTTTTTAAAACCCTTTTTTATGGCAAGTATCACTTTGATCATTTTTACTTTATATTGAGGTTATTTTGGTATGTCTTGTCTCTCCTACCACAAACTTTAACTCCTTAAGGGCAGGGTCCTAAGGTACATGCAACTCTGTGATCCCTAGAGACTCACATTACAGCAGACTCTCAAAAGAGGAAGAGAAAGACATAGGGCAAGACAGAGCAGAGCCACTCAGCCTGCTGTCTAGAAAGGTTGTGGACAAAATATGATGGAAAAACCATTGGTAGTTCAGCACTGTGCTTAAGGTGGTCCACAGACTGGTTTTCGTAGTACTAGTACAGTAAGCCCAGGCCTAGTCTAACCATATTAATTACTTCTAATAAAAACCAGGCATCTCTTCATTAATATTTCCTCAAAAGACATATAAATATTTTCAATAATTCTGGAGAGATCTTTGGGGGAAATAAACAAGAATGAGTAAATAGAACTTAGCATCCTCCCAAACTCCAAAATTTATGGCCCTATTATCCTTAGAAAATGTTCAACTAGGAATCTTATTTTCTTCTTCAGTTTGCTGTCTACTACAAGTGAAGACATCTGAAATCCTTCATTCAGAATGAATATCACATTTGGATAATTTTACTTTTTTCCCCTAAACTGACATTATTTTCTATACAATCAAAATAATAAGGTCAAAAAGAGAGCCACATATCTTAGATACAATGAGGTCTAACATTTTTTTTTATTAGCCATCAATAATCTCAGTGAGCTCTTAATCCAGATGATCAAACACTAGCAGTCAGAAAATTAAGCAGACCCAGATCCATTTCACATAATTATCCAGAACTATAGAAAATCTTAATTTTGCTACACACTCTAATAGTTTTATTCTCCTGAATAGTCAATAGATTAGATTTTTTTATATCGGTTTAGTACTTAGCATACCATTATACATATAGTAGATACTTGTTAATAAAATCCTATTAACTTATATGGATATTCTCTCATGCTAAAATCTCAAAAAGAAAAAAAACCCATCTTTTACAAGATATAAACATGAATAGTTTTACTCAGGTGTTTAAAATATACAATGCAGGGGACTTCCCTGGTAGCACAGTGGTTAGGACTCTACGCTCCCAATGTGGGGTACCCGGGTTCAATGCCTGGTCAGGGAACTAGATCCCACATGCATGCCGCAACTAAGAGTACGCATGCCACAACTAAGGAGCCAGAGAGCCGCAACTAAGGAGCCAGTGAGCCACAACTAAGGAGCCCACCTGCCACAACTAAGGAACCAGCGAGCTGCAACTAAGGAGCCTGCCTGCCACAACTAAGAGCTGGTGCAACCAAATTAATTAATTAATTTAAAAAATAAAATATACAATGCAGTCAAGACTGCAAAATAAGTTACTATTATACTTTACCACTAATTAAAAGGAAAAAAACTACCTTAGAAAAAGATAATGCTGCTTAAACTATCTCTTGAAGGAAATCTAACACAAGTTACTTCTAGGGAGAGGAACTGGTTGACTACATGATGGGGTGAGAGGAATGTTTGTACAGTACACTCTTTGTACATTTTGGATTTCATACCCTCTGAATGTTTTACCTATTCACAAAAATAAATCAAAATTGGGGTGAAATTAACGTAATGCTATTTGACCTTGACAATGAATATAAACTTATAACCCATTTAAGATGTGGGCACTCTAAAATGATCTATCATCAAGGAAAAATGTTAGTATTATTTTTTGTACTAATAAACATTTTCCATTTATTTTTATTATATGATAAAGTGATTTTTGCATTCGTGGATATGGTCTTTTAATACTCATTTTCTCCTTAAAAGTTTTTAGTTTAAGATTTCCAACCCTATAAAGAAAGTAGCAACACCCCAACCTTTAATGAAAATCCATCTCCATGACACTGGGGATTCCTGGGTAGTTCAGCATGCAAAACAGAGAAAAGTATTTCTTTCTGGAATCAATTCTGGCTCCTGATCCAGGATTTCCTAACGTCCCCACTTTAAAAGAACTTGTGATACACACCATTATATTTAGAGGCAACACCAGCAGTCAAAAATGCCTCCATACTAAGTTATAGTTAAATGCATTTTTCAGAAAGAAACAAGGGGCTCAATAATCAGGTTTTAGTGTGCTCACTTCAGCAGCACCTATACTAAAACTGGAACAATACAGAGAAGGTTAGCAAGGCCCCATGCAAGTTTTTAGTTATACTGTGTAAAACTTAATTCTTAAAATGAAACACAAATGATAACATAGCCTGAATGAGTGACATTTAGGAATATAAACATTTGTTAAAGAACAATACTGAATTTTGCATCTCTTTTTACAATTATTCATAGGATATATAATTCATAGAATCACTGGCACAACTGACAAAGAAATGTAAAGCACAAACAGTGGTACAGCAGTTTAGACTCCTACTTTTGAATCTTGTTTTAAAAAATAAAATGTTGTGAGTCCTATTTAGCAAGTTCAGAAAAGTATGTAAGCAACAGAAGGTTCAAAGTTGTACATGAGGAATCTATATCAAAAAATAAACGGCGAACTCACAGTAACAGAGAATGATAGCTGGGGAGTGGGGGAGAAAAGGAGATTCTGATCAAAGGGTACAAACTTTCAGTTATAAGATAAGTTCTGGAGACCTAATGTGCAGCATGGTGACTATGGTTAATAATGATGTACTGTCTATGTAAAATTTGCTGAGAGAGTAGATCTCAAGTGTTCTTACCACAAAATAAAAGGTAACTATGAGACATGATGGATATATTAGATTTTGCTAATCATTTCACAATGTATAAACATATCAAAGCACCACACTGTAGACCTTAAATACATATAGTTTTATTTCCCACTGGGAGAATCCTCTACACAAAACACTGGCCCACAAATAGATGAGATCAGCATGTTTCCTCAACAATTCAACATTAACTTGTATCTGTCTGAAAGAACAACAATTCGGCTTTATCACAAAGTTATAGGTTTTAAAACAGTAGAACCTACATCTATTTTAAGTAATAGTTTGCCTACAGATCCATATCAAGTAACTAATTCAAGTACCAAAAACCCCTTCAATTTTGAAGGGGCTTCAAATGAGTTTGAGTCATTTTTCACCTAAGCAACTATATAGGGAAACAAGCTAGGAAGCAATGACTGATAATTTTTAGTAATAATTTACAAGTTTACTATCTGTTTTAGCTATATCTGTTGTTCAACTCAAAGAACCATTGTAAGGAAGCAGAGTAAGTGTGAAGACCATCTTGGCAAGCTCAAGTGCTTTTATGGTTTTGTTTTTGTTTTTGCGGTACGTGGGCCTCTCACCGCTGTGGCCTCTCCTGTTGCGGAGCACAGGCTCCAGACGCGCAGGCTCAGCGGCCGTGGCTCACGGGCCCAGCCGCTCCGTGGCATGTGGGATCTTCCCGGACCGGGGCATGAACCCGTGTCCCCTGCATCGGCAGGCGGACTCCCAACCACTGCGCCACCAGGGAAGCCCTCAAGTGCTTTTAAAATCAAGAAAGCAAAGTAATCTTGGAGGCTCAACAGGTATATTTCACAGCATCATTTACTAAAAATCACTGCTTACACCTTTACTATAGTTAAGATTTCAACTTAATAACACTAGGTAAATTCGTTCAGTTCTCTAGGGACTTCTCAATTGTAAAGAAGAAAATAAATAGTCCATATTTAAATATGCTACAGCAAATATCACAGGGGGAAAACATTCAATGGATCATTCAGAACAGCAAAGTTCAAAGTGTTAATAGCCAAATGTTCATTTATTCTGATCACGGCAAGCAGGAAAAGGGGGAAGGATAGGAAAATGAGACAGAGTTGATAGAACACAACATGAACTCACTGGTTGAGTTGCCCTGCATCTGAATGATGCACTTGGATTCTTTGCTGGTCTCTCGAGAATTGAAGGGCCGCACACGGACAGCCACCTTCACTGAGGCTCCCGACATTCTGATGGTCTTGTTATATATATGCAGTCCAGAAATAAAGAATCAAATCTTCTTATGAAATTATGTTCAAGTTTCCTTTAAAAAAGAAAAGATGATTCGATAGTCAGAATTAAAGAAATCATGGGCTAACTTGAGCATACGAGCCATTATCTTAGTGCTATTTGTTTCCATTTCTAAAAACCTCATCCCTTTTCTTCCCTATAAATCTTATATTCTCAACCGTAAATTATCAGATAGAAAATAAAGACTGTAATTTGTTTTCCTGTTCCATTATCTGTTTACCATGCCTAAAAAGTCCCTAGACTTAATAATAAAAAATTTAACTGCAAAGTAACAAATGTCTTCCTTGCTCTCTGTTTTTCTGGATCAGTCTTCAATAATATATGAAAAAAAACCAAAATGTTTATTTGTTAAAGAGGGTTCCTTACACAAGTAACTTGCCATCTGCAAAACAACTTATTACTTGTCTTTAAAGAAATGCACTGAACTTTTTATATCTTAATTTCAGTTTGAAACATCCAGTTACATGATGTATATTTAAACAGCAAAAGGACAAAGATAAGCTCTAGCTAGCTTCTTTAACTATAGGTATCCTGGGATTCCTTTAACTTCTATGAACCCTTTCATATGTATCTCATTTGGCCCTTACAACCATCCTGTACAATAAGCAGAGAAGGTTTCAAGAGACCCAAGTTCTATCCTCTGACTCACGGCAGAATCAAATCACTATATTTCACTTTTGAATGAAGCCACAGGAAAAAATGTGAACATTTTTTAGAGGAATAGTTTCCCTCCCAACAGAACAAAACGAACACTATTCTGTGAAAATAACCCACATAAGAAATTTCCACAAGAAACAACAGATCTCAACCTGTACTCTATCCGTTATATAAACATCTTCAAGAAGAAATGAACAAAAGAAAAAAGAAAAATACTTATGGGTCCAGTTACCAGGGAACTCCAACAGAACTTAAACCTGACCAATTTTTTTCCACATAATTAAGTAAAGGTTAGGAATGCTAACCTCCAGCTGAACAGCTACTAATACTTTCCACAGGAAAAGGCAAAAATAAATACCCTATCTTATTTTCTAACAGCACTATCACTATTTGAAATTCTTGTTTTTTGGACCACGTCTATTGTCTGTCTCTCACACCACCACCAGAAGGCTCAGAGACCTTGTTTGCCAGCACTTAAAACAGTATCTGATGAAAGAGCTCACTACATGTTTGCTGAAGGATTGAATTAATGAATTATATTTCCTAATTGTGAGAATTATCTGTTCAAGTCCTCTACCTGGTTTACTGACTTTTTTGTTTGTATTTCAAATGATTACAATACTTATTGATATTAATCTTTTTATATTTGCTGCAATGTTTTTTCCAGTCTGTTTCACATTTTATTTTACAATAAACAGATGGTTCTTTTTTTAATACATCAAACATTTATTTTAATCACATTTATTAAATGAAAGCTTAGAGTTATTAACCCTTCCAATCGATACAGCACGACCTATAGTCAATAGCTGAATACTTTGCCAAAAGAGAGTGAATGAAGCATTCACAAAAAGCAAGACACACAACACATTTCAACCCCCCAGAGTCCACTTTAATACACAGCCATCATCTCAACACTCAGTATGTCCCATTATCTTCTCCCCGAAACGAGCAATCTCTGCCAGTCTTCCCATTTCTATCTGGACCCATACCATAAATCTTGGAGTCATCTTTACTTCCTACTCTGAATCCTTTCATTAGTGCTAACATTATTAATGAAATACCATATGAAAACTTTTAAAACATAAATTTCCATTCTTCTATCCCCTCCTTCCTCTCATTTCCATTGCCCTAACCTTAATCCATGTCCTTACTACCTCATGCCTAGCGCACCTGCAATAAAGAAACTAATCTTTGAGCTTTTAGATTTAATCCAATAGTCATTAAATGGGGGGAGAGAGGCAGGATTTGCACAAAACAATCCCACAGGGGTCTTTTGAAAAGCAAATGAGCCTAGCCACCCCCCTTTTGAGATAGGGCCCAGGTATGGGTTGTTTTGTTTTGTTCATTTTCTAAAGATTATGTTGTAAACCTCCAGCTGAGAACTCTACTCAACTGCTTAACCCTACTGCAATATTAACCCTTCTAAAGCATGACTTTCTTTTTTTTTTTAAACACTACATCTTTTTTTTTTTTTTTTTTTATTCAACTGACATTCTACATTATCCTTTCCCTTTTTAAAATTAGATAACCTTGGTCTTCCCTGGTGGCGCAGTGGTTGACCGTCCGCCTGCCGATGTAGGGGACACGGGTTCGTGTCCCGGTCCGGGAAGATCCCACATGCCGTGGAGCGGCTGGGCCCGTGAGCCATGGCCGCTGAGCCTGTGCGCCCGGAGCCTGTGCTCCGCAACGGGAGAGGCCACAACAGTGAGAGGCCCGCGTACCCTTTTTTTTTTTTTTTTTTTTTTTTTTTTTACTTATTTATTTTGGCCGCGCCACGTAGGATCCTAGTTCCCAAACCAGGGATTGAACCCGCGCCGCCTACATTGAAGTGCGGAGTCTTATAAATCACTGGACCACCAGGGAAGCCCCCTAAAGCATAACTTTCAATTTCACTTCCAAACCCAAGAACCTTTTCTTACTCCCCAGCACTTACAAGATCAGTCAAGGTACTCTGTATTCTAGTCAAGCTCCTTTACTATTCCACACACGTTCTTTCACACCTTCTAACAATTTCCCCCCTACGACAGATCTATGAATCTTCATTTTCTCCTCTACTTGATGGCCCAGCTCCAGTCTTAACTCTTCCAAATGACTACCCAAACATTCCAGGAATCACTGGTATTTCCTACAGCACTTACAGTCCCAGACACATTGTGAGAACACTGTTATCATTTTACACGACTATATTCTAGCTTGTACGTTCTTTAATAGCTTCCCAAAGTGAATATCCTAATCCTTCAAATATCTCTTTGAACTTGGGTTCCTTGAAAAAGTGGCTAATTCCAAGTCTGGGCAAGAAATTTCAGGATGATTCTGGAACATCTTAGTATGACCACAAGCAAGAAACCAAAGACTAATATGGGGTCATGGCAAAAAGACACAAGTGCCAACTTAAAGGAGCTCCCACTGGACAAAGATGGGATAATTGGAGCATAAAAATACATACATACATACAAACACACTGCATATGGACTGGAAAACATTAAATATATAAATTCATGAGTTCAGAATGATACTTTCAAAAACCTCATTATTCTGAAAACTGGCAAATAAAACAAAAGAATAGAGCATGCGTCCAGTCTGTGCATCCTGTATAAACTATATTCCAGGACAGTCAAATAGACGAGGACAAGCTCTTCTTTACAGAAAAAGTCTGACTATTAAGTGCAGAAGAAATGACAGAATTAGAATGTCACCAATTCCCAACCCTACTAACATAAAGGTTCTCTGCATCATCACTATCTACTAAAAAAGCCTTAAACGAAAGGTTGGTTGATTTGGGAACATTATATTGTATGAATTAGGCTGACAAAATCTGAACCAAATGATCATCAATCTTAACATCACTAAGAGTGGGACACACAGGTGGCCTATGCCTCCTGATGTGCTGCAGTAGGAAACACACGGCACCACCTAGTAAATATTATCCCACTCCCCTTAAAAAAAAAAAAAATGATAGAATCAAGCCTCAGTTTATAGGACATATAGGCAGCAAAGAAACAATTTAAATGATACCTAGAAGATACAATCAGCCAAACCCAGAATACAGAAAAATCTACAGTTCAAGTCACCCAGTTTCTTCAATTAAATAGCATGATTTGGGGGAGAGGGGTGGTAATAAAAGAGACTTAAATGTTGACAATCAGTGAATATTGTAGATATGTAAATTTAAAAAAAAGAAAACTTTCTTCTTTTGTGTTCTATTCAGGGCCTACCAAAATGTTCAATGCTGCAAACTAACTTACAAACCGACAACAAAGGCTGAAACCTCCTTGCTAAGCTTTAGATTATAAAGTATTATTTAGATATAAAGTACTAGGAGCCGAAATACTAACCTCTTTACTATTTAAAGTCCCCCACACATGTACTTTTCAATAGTTGTTTCGCTCTTCTACCCAGCTAGCCTCCCGACATACCATTCAACCTAACACACCCAAAGCCCAAACATCTCTTCACCTCCCCCAGCTCTTCCACCACTTTTCTATTTCTTTTAATGTTCTCACCATTCTCCTGTTCCCACACAGGCCAAAAAGCTTGCTTCCTCTATCCGTCTAATCAACTGCCAAATTACATGGCTTCCACCTATAAAATCTCTCTCCATTTCTACCACCGCCATACCATCCCTTTTACGCCTTCAATACATCTCACCCAAGAGCGTTAATCATCTTAACCACTTTTTCTCTTTCTTCCTCCTACCCCAACCATACTACACAATACTGCCATTTTCATATATTCCATCCATACTATGCAATGCTGCCAGATTCACACTCCTAACGCACAGGTCTCTTCATATCACTGTCCAGTTTCTCTACTGTCTACCAAGCAATGACTGAACTCCCCACCAGTGGCACTCAATGTGTTCTGTAACATAAACCACCATTTCCTTTTCTGTGTGTGTGGTACGCGAGCCTCTCACTGTTGTGGCCTCTCCCGTTGCGGAGCACAGGCTCCGGACGCGCAGGCTCTGGACGCACAGGCTCAGCAGCCATGGCCCACAGGCCCAGCCACCCCGCGGCATGCAGGATCCTCCTGGTCCAGGGAACGAACCCGTGTCCCCTGCATCGGCAGACAGACTCTCAACCACTGCGCCACCAGGGAAGCCCAAACCTGGGCAGCCCAAAACACTGCCTTCCATCCACTTTCCTTAACAACCACCCACCAGAGGGTTTCCTGAAAGCATCTCATGTTTTTCTGTCCCTGTGCCTTTGCTCCAATGCTCCTTCTACCTACTGTACCCTTCCTCCTCTCCTGTTCTTCTCAAAATCCAACTTTTCTTCCAGGACCTTCTCATATGCTACTTATTTCTAAAGCTTTCGTAGATTCTCCCCACCTTGCAA